TAAACCGAAACGTAATTATTAAGATAAATTTTTAACCTTTACAATCACTGTAAACGAAGTTATCATTTAGGTCATACAACTAGGAACCACAATCCTAACTAATTTTAAAACGAATGTAAGTCTATGGAGATTATCGAACCAGTTGTATGTTCCTGACTAAAAGAAAATCCCCCTCAAATCCCAGTTAGATGATTAACAGCGTCCTTGGATTACAACCGGGGTGTATACAACCCACCAGACCTCCACCCTACATATCGGCTGTATACAACTCCCCCCCCCCCCCATATACTGCATATCTGGAACTGTGTGACCTTGACCCTTTCAGATGTATTCACAGCTGTCTCAGGCTTACGTGGTGGTTGAATATGCAAGTGTCATAGGTCATAAGGTTCACGAACCAAATTCGGCATTGCTTGAGGCAGTCAATCGATACACATCGCTTAGTCTATTTAGGCAGTCCATTTAGTCAGTCTATTTAGGCAGTCTATTTATCAAGTTCACTTGTCAGTTGAAAAAGGCGTCCAGGCTCTTAATTAAATAATTCAAAATTCATTAATCAGTGAACTAATAAATTAATTACCAAGTCATCTAATTAACGCCTTAATCAGTCAACTAATTAAGTCATTTATTAGCCAAATTATTAACTCAACTAGCTAAGCAAAGAGATATACTGTTATACAACACACTATCAATGATGAGTTATTCAGCATATCCTCAATAATGTGTTTAAAAAGCTTAGTGCTGATAGTTTATTATACAGCCAACTAAAAGTGATATGTTATAACTGCTACTGCCAAAGGTTTGTAATCCAATAAATCGTACGCACAAGATTGCAAAACTATGTTTTTCCGATTCATGGAGGTGTTAAACGTCGATATTTGCAAAAAAAAATCTCGATTTTGTTTTGCACGATTACAATACTTTCTCTATACTTCTTTTACGAGAAAGTAAAAAGGGTGTCTATAGGGCATGTGAAGTAGTGTTCTATGCCCAACACCTTTGACATTCCCTAACGTGAGTTAGGTACCCATCAGAGTTGGGTGGACTCAGGGACAGTCTACTGATTTGAACCCGGGTTCGAACTCGAGACATACGGGTTAGCAGTCCAGCGCTCTACCGCTAGACCAATCCGTCCCATGTTATCTTGTACGTTCCTACATAATATAATGTTTTTCTTTTTTATTTCTGTTAGATGGGAGGTAATTCATTAAAATAAGAAAAAATTAGAATAAACCTAGTTCTTTACCCTGCATTGCTGAGATTTTAAATATTTGGGATGTGAAATAATCCCATTTACATTCACTCTTTTTTTGTTTTTGTTTCAGCGGATAAAGCCCTCATATTTCAATAAACAGTCGTCCTTACCCCCAGGTGGGCGTGTCTTACAACAACCGATGGGCGTGTCCTTACCTCGACAGGCCTTCCCATCACTGGCCAAGTTGTAGCCGCCATAACAGGAGCAGGCGTGTTTGTGGTCCCCTTGAGGGGTGCAGTAGTGCTGGCACCCCCCGTTGTCCACCTCACAGGGGTCGTCATCTAGAAGATCAAGTACACAGTTATACTCGGGTGTACACAGTTATACTCACATTTACATTTATACTGGCATGTACAAAGTAATACTGGCATGCATAGTTATACTCGCATGTATGTACAGTTATACTCGCTTGTACTGTACACAGTTATACTCGCTTGTACTGTACAGTTATACTCGGATGTACACAATTATACTCGCATGTACATAGTTATACTCGCATGTACACAGTTATACTCGGATGTAAACAGTTATACTCGGATGTACACAGTTATACTCAGATGTACACCGTTATACTAGGATGTACACAATTGTGCTTAGTAGTACAACGCCGTACATAGTTGTACTCTTTAAAAGTTTTGAATGAGTTTTGTAGTTGTACACAATGATAGGCCTACTCCTACGCAGTTGTATATCCACACGTTTGTACTCTATAGCGTTTGATATTACTGTTGTATACATTTCTAATGGATTGTACACTGGTGTACATAACAGGACACATTGGTACTCTACTGCACTTGAGTACACAGTTTACCTAAACTGTACTCTTAGTTATGGTCTGTAAGGGAGTGGGGGGTCGAGAGATTCTTACCGGCCATACATTCTGGAAAGTTGTGTGTAGCGTTTGTGCATGTGTGTTGGGGGGGGGGGGGGGAGTGGGGATTAAGAATACCTTACCGTCAATACACTACGGAAAGTTGTGTATTGTATGTGTATGTGTGTGAGGGGGGGGGGGTCAAGAAAAAAACCGGCAATACACTCCTGAAGTGTGGGTGTGGTATTGTGTGTGTAAAGGGGGGGGGTCTGTAAGGGAGTGGGGGTCGAGAGATTCTTACCGGCCATACATTCTGGGTGGGTGGGAGTGGGGGTGATGAATATCTTACCGGCAATACACTCGGGAATGCTGAGTGTAGTGTATGTGTGTGTATGGAGGGGGGGGTAGAGAAGGACTTACCGGCAATACACTCGGGAAAGCTGGGTGTAGTTTGTGTGTATGGAGGGGGGGGTAGAGAAGGACTTACCGGCAATACACTCGGGAAAGCTGGGTGTAGTTTGTGTGTATGGAGGGGGGGGGGGATAGAGAAGGACTTACCGGCAATACACTCAGGAAAGCTGGGTGTAGTTTGTGTGTATGGAGGGGGGGGGGATAGAGAAGGACTTACCGGCAATACACTCAGGAAAGCTGATGTATGTGTGTGTATGGAGGAGGGGGGGGTAGAGAAGGACTTACCGGCAATACACTCCGAAAAATGGGCGTAGTGTATGTGTGTGTGTAGTGTGTATGGAGGGGGGGGGTAGAGAAGGACTTACCGGCAATACACTCCGAAAAATGGGCGTAGTGTATGTGTGTGTGTAGTGTGTATGGAGGGGGGGGGGGGTAGAGAAGGACTTACCGGCAATACACTCCGAAAAATGGGCGTAGTGTATGTGTGTGTGTAGTGTGTATGGAGGGGGGGGGTAGAGAAGGACTTACCGGCAATACACTCCGAAAAATGGGCGTAGTGTATGTGTGTGTGTAGTGTGTATGGAGGGGGGGGGTAGAGAAGGACTTACCGGAAATACACTCCGAAAAATGGGCGTAGTGTATGTGTGTGTGTAGTGTGTATGGAGGGGGGGGGGTAGAGAAGGACCTACCGGCAATACACTCCGAAAAATGGGCGTAGTGTATGTGTGTGTGTAGTGTGTATGGAGGGGGGGGGGTAGAGAAGGACTTACCGGCAATACACTCCGAAAAATGGGCGTAGTGTATGTGTGTGTGTAGTGTGTATGGAGGGGGGGGTAGAGAAGGACTTACCGGCAATACACTCCGAAAAATGGGCGTAGTGTATGTGTGTGTGTAGTGTGTATGGAGGGGGGGGGGGGGGGGGTAGAGAAGGACTTACCGGCAATACACTCCGAAAAATGGGCGTAGTGTATGTGTGTGTGTAGTGTGTATGGAGGGGGGGGGGGGGTAGAGAAGGACTTACCGGCAATACACTCCGAAAAATGGGCGTAGTGTATGTGTGTGTGTAGTGTGTATGGAGGGGGGGGGGGTAGAGAAGGACTTACCGGCAATACACTCCGAAAAATGGGCGTAGTGTATGTGTGTGTGTAGTGTGTATGGAGGGGGGGGGGGTAGAGAAGGACTTACCGGCAATACACTCCGAAAAATGGGCGTAGTGTATGTGTGTGTGTAGTGTGTATGGAGGGGGGGGGGGTAGAGAAGGACTTACCGGCAATACACTCCGAAAAATGGGCGTAGTGTATGTGTGTGTGTAGTGTGTATGGAGGGGGGGGGGGTAGAGAAGGACTTACCGGCAATACACTCCGAAAAATGGGCGTAGTGTATGTGTGTGTGTAGTGTGTATGGAGGGGGGGGGGGGTAGAGAAGGACTTACCGGCAATACACTCCGAAAAATGGGCGTAGTGTATGTGTGTGTGTAGTGTGTATGGAGGGGGGGGGGGGGTAGAGAAGGACTTACCGGCAATACACTCCGAAAAATGGGCGTAGTGTATGTGTGTGTGTAGTGTGTATGGAGGGGGGGGGGTAGAGAAGGACTTACCGGCAATACACTCCGAAAAATGGGCGTAGTGTATGTGTGTGTGTAGTGTGTATGGAGGGGGGGGGGTAGAGAAGGACTTACCGGCAATACACTCCGAAAAATGGGCGTAGTGTATGTGTGTGTGTAGTGTGTATGGAGGGGGGGGGGTAGAGAAGGACTTACCGGCAATACACTCCGAAAAATGGGCGTAGTGTATGTGTGTGTGTAGTGTGTATGGAGGGGGGGGGGGGGTAGAGAAGGACTTACCGGCAATACACTCAGGAAAGCCGGGAGCGCTCCAGATCTCCGCCTTACAGAAGAGCTGGTTGTTGGTCCTGTTACGTAGCTTGAAGCCACCCATGCACGTGTAGGTGGCCACCATGACGTAACGATGACGTATCTCGTTCAGGACGTAGCTGGTCTCGACAACTGCGTGCTCGATCTCTGGGGGGACAATCTATGGGGGTAGGGGTGGGAGGTGGGAGGGTAGGGGGAGGGGTGTGGGGGTAGGGGGGAGGTGTGAGGGGTGGTTTTAATTTGTACATGAAACTTAAAGTCTCAAAATGGCAGTTAGTGTCATGGTTCTAATTTATCGGGAGCTAAGATTTTTATTTATTTGGAGCTAAGGATTTCATTTGTGTGGAGCTTAGATTTTTCACTTACAAGGATTAAGGGTAATATTTTGTCGAGGCTAAGGTTTTAATGTTTAATGTATAGGGAGCTAAAATTACGTTTGTCCGTGGGTGGGGGGGGGGGGGTGCAAGGTTTCAAAATGCGAGGGCCAACAAAAAGCAAAGCTTCTGTCTACATGCACACAGGGATGGGAGCGGGATTGTGAAACGGCAAGGAATGGTGTCATAAAATTTGATCTCCAGTGAGACATGACCCGCAACAGAAACAACGAGATTCGTGGTCCAGGGGAGGTAAATACTAAATGTTGTTTGTATTTCTTATTTTTATTTTTTTCTCTCCCTTATTCATTAATTAATCCACTTAATCAGGGGTCTCCAAACTACGGCCGCGGGCCGGATGCGGCCCGCGAAGTCCTCTCATCCGGCCCGCGGAGATGTTTTAGTCCAAGGAAAAATCGTTTGTTGATGATGATGAGGAACTTTGCGCAGAAAAATCAAAGACATGCCTGGAAGAAACTGGCCTCCGAACTGAAATTTGATAGTTAATGCGGCCCTCGGACTGAAAAGTTTGGAGACCCCTGCACTAAATTCTGAAGACTATTCAGTGGTTATATACTGATAGTTTTATATTCGCTGAGGATTATGATATTAACAGGTGACGTAAACAATTTTATTATCTATGGACCAACTTTTTTATTCAGGGAACCTAAATGACTATATTTCAAACGAATGTAGATGATTATATTTCCAGGTTAGATATATGATTTTATTAGCCAAGATAAATTATTACTTAAGATGGGGGACTACATGGCAAGATTATCAGGGACCTAAATGATTATATTACAAGGTTAACTACATGATTACATTACAAGGAAACCTACATGATTATATCCAAAGGTCACCTACATGATTATACCCAAAGACCACCTACATGATTATATCCAAAGGTCACCTACATGATTACATCTAAAGGTTACCTACATGATTATATCCAAAGCCCACCTACATGATTATATCCAACGGTCAACTACATGATTATATTACAAGGTTACCTACATGATTATATTATCAGTGGACCTACATGATTATATTATCAGTGGACCTACATGATTATATTACAGGGTCACTTACATGATTATATCCAAATGCCACCTACATGATTATATCAAATGGTCAACTACATGATTATATTACAAGGTTACCTACATGATTATATTACAAGGTCACCTACATGATTATATTACAAGTCACTTACATGATTATATCCAAATGCCGCCTACATGATTATATCCAACGGTCAACTACATGATTATATTACAAGGTTACCTACATGATTATATTATCAGTGGACCTACATGATTATATTATCAGTGGACCTACATGCTTATATTACAAGTTCACTTACATAATTATATTACAAGGTCACTTACATGATTATAGAAGCAGGTCTCATCCGAGTCGTCGAGTGAGTTCCCCATGCCCGGTGACCTTTTGATGACCGTGTTTTCTCCAGGTCGAGACTTGGTCTTGTCGTTTGGCTTGGTCGTAACTAAGGTGAAACAGGGGATGTTACTCGATGTGACAAGGGAGACTATACAGTTTACAATTATCTTTAACAGTTGTACGTCAATTGAAATGAAGAAATTATTTCTCTTCCTATACGCATAGTTTATTTATAAACTTGAGTTGACGATTACTTCATAAATTTTACTTTCATTATTCAAATTTACAATAATTATTTGTTTTCGTAAGTTCTTCCATCCCAGCAGTTACGTATACATGTAAACAAGGTTCTAAATAAAGGGGGATAACCTGCACAGACAGGGTAGCTTCCCTTCCACTTGCTCTCTTCACATACAAGAGTTGAGTCCCCTAACAAGAAGTAGCCGGGCCTGTGAAATCATAGAATATTTTTTTTTAACCATCAACTCAAACATCATCAATTCTTAGGCTTTAAAAAAACTATTTTCAGAGAATTTATCAACCTAAGATGTTTTGTTTTAACATTGCTGATTGGGGGCCGGAGTGCACACGTAGAGAACCGATGTTTGACGTGTAAAATGGTTAAGCTTTGAGCATGACTGGATTCGGTTGTAGGAAAAAAAAAGTCACCGGAAAAAAAGTCACAAAAAAGTGTCACAGGAAAAAAGTCACAGAATCAAATGTCACACTGGTATTATTGGTAGAAAAAAAAAGCCTTCTCTCAACTAGACCTATATGTTACATAAGATGACCTACTTATTGCATGAAATGCCTCCTACATAATCTACTAACCCGACCAACAAACAAACTGACCTACCTACATACAATGGTGGCCAGACCCCCACTGCTGTCTATGTTGACCACGCCATGTTTTGGGGGTGTCAACTCAGGGCAGCCAGAATCTGACCAAGACAAAATGTCCAGTTGGACGCTTGCGTTACAATGATGTTTTTTTTTAAATAAAATAAAATAGATCAACACTATTGTAATGTAAAAATAGTTATGTTCAGAGTTGTCATTGCCTGTTAAGAAAAGACCAATCAATATGTAAACATTTAGCACCAATTCACCTGTACAGACTGGGGGGTCAATTGTCCACTTGCCCGTGCTCAGGTCACAGGCACCGTGTGTTATGCCGACAGGTGTGTAGCCCTGCTTGCACCTGGAGAAACCGAAAGTAGAATCGGTCAGGCATGACGGTCAGTGGACTAAGACAAAAATCCTCCCTCACCCCCCCCCCCCCCCCACCAACCAACACCAGATGTTGATGCTCTAAATATATCAACAAACAACAACTTTAAATGGTCACAATCTGTTAGGCAGCAATTTGTATAAAAGGAAAAAAAATGTTATGTTACGTCATATTAATTAAGACCTGTCTGACTCTCAATGCGTTACATAAGTCAGAGCTACTCGAATACTCTCATGTGTGTGATGTTATTTAGTGGCGACTCCATAGTAAACATACAATATTACCATGAATGATTTGAGCAATGTTACGCATATATTCCCAGTTGCGTACTAGGGATATGTCGTCCATTTATATATACATTACACATCAGAGGCACAGCGGGGGGGGGGGGGGGGGGGGCAGGGAGGACACATATGTCCCCGGGCGCCGACCTCAGGGGGCGCCAAAATGGGTTGGAAAAAAAAATTGATAGGTTGAGGGGGTGCAAATCGAATGTTTGAGGGGGAGGGGGTGCAAAATGAAAGTTTGAGGGGGGGGGGGGTGCAAATCGAAAGTTTGTCCCCGGGCGCCGGGAAGGGTCGCTACGCCTCTGTTACACATACATTATATATATTTTATATATATATATATATATATATATATATATATATATATATATATATATATATATATATATATATATATATATATATATATATATATATATATACAGAGAGCATCTTGTTTACCTGTACTCCAGCAGAAGTCTATCGCCCCACACAATAGTTTCTCCGTTAGGGATCGGGCTGGGGTCGGCACATGGGATCTCGTTCTCAATCTCATCTGTTGATGTGATTCACATTCGATTATTCATTTTGAAAACAAATAAATAGGGTCAGACACAAAGTTCTTTGGAAACAAAGCAAGAGAGAGAAAACGTGAGTGATCTCCCCTTAGACTTCCTCGTATGTTTTTGTTAAACGGTAAGGGTTGGGATGGCACGTCCAAAAGAATGGGGCTATACAAATAGAGAAGTTGGTGGCACAAATCTCTCGTTTTACCAGGAAACAAACAGAAGCACAAAGATATTAGGATATGCTAATTAATAAGAATAGGAAAAAATGAAATTTTGAATGTTTCTGAGAAAACGGAAATGGGGTAAAGCACCACTTCTGGTTTCTGGAAATCGGTTGATGAAAAATGATCTTTAGGAACTCATGCAGAGCTTCTTTAACATAGCTAACATAATGAACACACCGAAGTGTGTGTAATATGCGCGATTACATTATTAGGAATAATGACAATTATGAATAAAATTATGCTTAATTGCATTGTTATGGGGCCTTGACCAACGCTTTTTATTTTATTTTTTAATATATATTTCCGTCCACACAGTTTACTCCATTCGAGCCAGGAGCCAACTGCGTGGATAGGTTGCATTTTTATTACATTAAAGTTACATGAATTAGCATACAATGTAGGCTACAATCAGTTTCACGTATTGATTCTTGTCTCTTTCAAAATATGTCTTTACTTTCCTTCCTTCCTTTTGTCTTTTCTTACTTTTGGACTTTAGTTTATTTTCTTGATGTTGCTTCTTTATTTTCTCTTTTAATTTTTCGTCTTCATTCTTGTTTCTTCCTGATTTTCGAAATGTCTTTACTTTCCTTCCTTTTATCTTTTCTTGCTTTTCAGTTTCTTCAATGATTTTGCTTCTTTATTTTCTCTATTAATTTTTCGTTTCTTTTATTGATTCCTATAGAGCTCTGAGTATAGGTTCAATGGTGTCGAGACGGAACATCCTACCTAAGATTGCTCCTAGGTAGGCGTCGTCTAGCTGAAAAGAATTAGCCACTCGTACATTGAAGCCACCATAGTACAAGTATTAGGTGACTCTTTTCGAGAGCTTTGTGCATTCGAGGGATGTGTGGGCGCAACACCACAGTGATCTTTTGCATTCGATGCCTCGATGACCAACTTCTCAACCCCAGCAGCCAGCCCTAAAAATGGCTGACAAAACAAATGACTAAGTTTTTTTTTTTTTAATTTCTTGTCATTTTAATTTTGTATATTTTCTTTTCTGTGAAATGACAGCTTTTAGATGAGTGAATAAAATTGGCACTGGATATTGCAAACTTTACAGTAATATAGATTTACAATTTACCAGACTTCTAATTTCTATGGCTCTAGGTTGGATTTTTTTGTATACATTATTCGTTCACAAAAATAACAGTAGGTTAAAAAAATCAGTTTTTGTCTGTTTTCTAATTACTTGGAAATTACATAACTTTTTAAATCTATTAACACATTTTATGACATTGGTGTCACATTTTATCAGGAGAAACTCATCTATAAGATTTTTGCCATGGACAAGTTATTTTACAATAGATTTTTAAAGTCCTCAACGACTGAAGGATCTTAACTAAATAATTTAAACTAACATCAAAACAATTAACTGATTAGAAATTAGTCTGTGTTTAGTCCACTGGTGACAATGTGGATGTTTTGCTGGTGCATCATGCTTCTTTCCTGACTGGTTTACATGGTAATAAACTTTAATGAGGAGAAGCCAAAGAAAAAAGTGGAGATTACCCACTTAGTTGTGGCTGCACTTGTCATGCCTCGATGATAGCAAACCTTTCCAGCATAGGCTGCCTCCAGAACATGCAGAACAACTGTGACAAGGCATAAGAGAACACAAAAGTTGTAATAATGACTTATATGTTGAGCCAAGGTGGCAACTGGACCCAAAAAATCTGGAATACTGTTGGGTGAGAATGTTGAAGCCCCTAAAAGCCATAGTCCAAATAAAATTATCATCATCCAACATAGATGTGGCCATGCAAAGTAATTTGGATCTAACATTGAAATATTAGATCTAATATTAGGCCTATAGCCATGTTTTCCTGATGAAAAATGGATTTCATGGGGCGTCATTCGGTTTTTGTAGCAAGACAGATTAAAACGGAAGAAAATGGTTAATTTTTTTTTTGTTTTTTTTTTTTTTGGCTCAGACATGTAACTTACAACGTCAGTTGTGCGTGTTCGCTTTAGTATTACAGTTTTCATCGATGAAAACGTAAGGAAATGGTTAAGAATTATGTAGAAACCTGAAGTGAAAACAGCCCGGATCATCGTTACACCAAGCACGGGGAGAGAAAATAACAAAAGCTTGTAAAAATACAATGGTTAACATAAGAATTGAACACAAAGTTTAAAAACTTATTTAAAGAAAATCCAGTGTATTTTATTAGAAACAACTAAATTATTGATTATGTACATTTAGTTGATAATTAATATAAGTTGATAGTATAGTTTAAGCTTAGTAAATAAAATCATCTTTAATAATATGTATTTTTTTATATTATCTCCCCTTAGCTCATTGCCATAAGCTGTGTAAAGTGACTGAAAATGACGTGTTCTGTCTGTCTGAAGTCTAAGCAAAGGGAGAAAACGAGTTTAAAATTAGGACAACTAGTAGTTTACAATGTGGAAATAGCATTTTTTTTAAAAACTAATTTTACTTATTCACTAATTTAAAAACAAAACACAGATTAATTAGTCAGGTACTGCTATACTAGTATGGGTGGGAGGGGGGATCAAATAACTTTTTTGTTACACCTGTTTCTGTCCAGTTTTCCACTCGCTACAACTGCACGTGTTTTATATTGTTTGTTTTTTTTTCAACGATGAACCCGGTGGATGTAACAAAGAGCAAACAAGCGACAGCCTTAACCTCAGGATTGGCCTTGAGAAGGTTGCCATGGTAGCAGCCGTGGTACGGCGGAAACCTGGGCTCCATTTCATCTCACAAGATGACAGCTTTTCTTTTGGTTTAAGTTTAGTGGCAAAGTTGGGTTTAGTTCTAGGTCCAAGTTTAGGTATATGGTTAGGTTTAAATGTGTGTTACTTCTAATTTAGGGGATAGGATAAAGGTTGGTTTTGAAGCTGATTTTAAGCCGGTAGTTGTATAGATTCGTGGCATGTTTAAAAATTAAGATTAAAATCTCGTTTAAAGTTAGGGCAAGTGGTTCGGTTTAATGACGGATTTAGGTTTAGTTAAAAGAATTAATGTTATGCTAGGGTTAAGATTATCTTAAGGTCATGCAGTAGCGGTAATTTAAAGTATTTGATGATTTTATGTGTATGGTTTTATGTGTATGGTTATATGTGTATGGTTATATGTGTATGGTTTTATGTGTATGGGCACAAGAACTATTTCAAACATTCTGGGCTGAAACAAACTGAGACACACACACACAAACATGTGTCTTACCATCAAACATTACAATGTTACTAGAAAGACACATATCCACACACAAAAACAAAAACACACACACACAAACATGATGTGTCTTGCCATCAAACATTACAATGTTACTGGAAAGACACATAGCCACACACAAACACACACACATGATGTGTCTTACCATCTGTGTCGTAGTTATAATCCAGGGGTATCCAGCTCCTGTCTCCGTGTGTCTGCACCTCAAGGTCACGGCCAGCAGACGACCGCGTCATCAGACACACGATAATGACGTAATTCGTCCACAGACACACGCGCGCTATCGGCCCTACTCCAGTCATGGTTTGTGTCAATCCTTACCACACATCTGCTACACACCCAACACACTGGGAACACATGTGCTGTGGGAAACAGACCCAAGGGAGAAAATACGTTGAGGTTTTTTTTTCTTTCTTTAATGTGGTCGCTGACTTCCGAGTTTTAACCGGAAGTGGCATTTGAATGCTTGTGGGACACACGGAAACAGTGAGCCAGCACTTGATGTGACGTCGCTGTTGTATCGTTACACACCGTGGCTAGACTTGCTAATAGTAGGATGAGTGAATATCCGAATAAAACGTATCAGAGTTGGGTTTAACTTTATGCTTATGATGGCTGGTTTTATAATTATACTTGGGTTTTTTTCCCACCTGCGTTTATATATTGTATGAGAACGTGAACATGATTGTTTTTATATCTTTTATAAGAAACATAATTATATATGGCATTTACGATTAAAGCGGAGGTTTAATTAATTCCGACATAGAAAGGGGTTGGTGTAAGGTTTAACGGAGTGGGAGAAGGGGTTCAATGTCTTACTATGGCTGACCTGTGCACATTGGCGTATCTTGGGCAGAGTTTCTTCCAGGCATCTCTTCGGGGGACCCCCCACCCCCGAAAAAAGTCTATCCCCCCCCCCCCCTCCGAAAATTTTAACTGCCACCGGAAAAAAAAGTCTGGAAGAAATACTGATCTTGGGGGAGGTGCCTGGAACTGACCCGAGGGGGGGGGGGGGAAGGGGCGTTAAACAAAGATTGAAAAAATCATTTTGAGATACATTACTAAATTAGCCATAGTCCAAATTAGGAAAGTAGACAGATTCGTGGTTCTACAGATTGATTAACTCTTTTCTACGTCGATTGTGGAACGGTACGGGGGCCGGAAGCTTTTTCTTTTTTTGACACCTTAAGTCGGGACGATTTTCATTTGTTTGATTTCTACATAACTGTTTTAAAAAGTTAAATAGAAACCATTGTACGAATAAATAACGTGTGAACACATTTCTATGCATTCTCTCGATCCCCTCTTAAAATGGTGATTCGTCCCAGTATGTCTATCTTATAATTAAAAAAATAAATAAAAAATTCCGAATTTTATAAAAGCTTTGAGTTACGATTGTTTAAAGCTTGGGTATGTCTGTAGACGACTTTTGCATAGACCTGTAGCTAAAGAAGAACAACTCAAGTAAAGAATACCAGATATGGATGTATACTGTTACATTACTATTCTTCATTTAAGGGAAACAACTCAAGTATTTTTTTTTAAAGTCAGATTTTAATGTGTACTGTTAAATTACCATTCTTCATTTAAGGGGAACAACTCCTGGAGAAAAACAAAAAAAAATTTCATAGTTTAATATTCTACATTTCATTTTTCATTTAAATGTATATATTACTTATTTGTTACAAATGAACGAAATGATTCGAACTTAAGTCTTACATGATAGTAGTCACGCTTCATACGCGTGTAGAAGGTTGTCAATGTAATGAGACTCCTATATCGTCACTATATCGTCTGATTTCAGTTCACATGTTCAAGTCCATTTTCTCTACTGCTGTACGCATAGCCAAAGTGCTTGGCTTTTCGTTTAAATAAAATATATATCTACTAATGTTCTTTAGAATAAAATGATTAACGAAAGAAAATATTAAAAAAAAAATTTTAAATTGTCCATTCTCGGCACCTTATACAAGAGAGACAACTCTAGAATTAAGTTAGTGTTCACAAATATTGTTTGAGTTATTGTTCCTAGAGACGAACTAACCGAACCACTAGGATTCTATCCAACTACTAATAAACTATAACAGCATTTATAAGGAGTCGATCTTATACTGTGGTCATAATGGGGGGGGGGGCGTATATAACTTTCACCAGGTCCCTTTTATAATTTATACATAGTCCCTTATACAAATAAAGCATAGACCCTTATATTACTCTTACAATATCCTTATATAACAACCATGATCCCTTATATAACTCAACATGGATGCCTTATATAACTCATACAAGGTGTCTTATATTATTCATGCACGACCCGTGATATAACTCAATAAAGCACTTATATAATTCATCCGGGGCACTTCATATCGTGTATCGAGCTTCAGTTCTATTCGTGCGCCCAAATTAATCTTAACTAACTCCTCCGTGTCTCCACTCGCGCTATACTGTTTATTTCAGATTCTAAGGAAAAATGTATACACTGCATTTAGTACGGCTTGATGATGAAGTTGTATAATTGGTATATATATATATATATATATATATATATATATATATATATATATATATATATATATATATATATATATATATATATATATATATTGGTGCCATAGTATTTCCATGAGACAGCAATTCACAGCAAGACTAGCTTTCTCCAAGCAAGTCTTTTGTGTACGTGCGCGGTGTACCATGACGTCACTGAGTGGTTGTGGTTTATGTGACGTCATAGATAGTGCCGTCAGCAGACTGGCTAAAATCGGCGTTTTGTGTTTTGTGAGGTCATAAGAATCTCTACAACATGCCCCTCCTCTACCCCCCCCCCCCCCACCCTCGACGCTGGTGGTTGGTGTACGTGGTGCTGTATGTGGGTTCCAGCATTGAAGTAATACAGAGAAGGGGGGTGCTCTTCACAAGCCACTCACTAACATTGCCCCCCCCCCCCATCTCTCGTTTTATCATCTGTTCCATGCCAACATTGAGTTCCAGAGAATAGAGCGCCGCACTCATGTGCGACGGATACGGGACGTAGCCATTTTTCATATTCCGACAAATAGGCTATATATGCAGATATATCATATATTATATATGTAACTAGGGTAGGCCTAGCTACTAGTTACAATCTGATGCAACTGATAACGAACGATAAGCCGCGACGCAGTATTACAGTCTGATGCAACTGATAGCAGGTGGCTTATTAGATCGGAATGATAACAATCTCAAAGCCAACGCGTGCTATTTTGGGAAACGGTACGAGGGGATTCAGACGGCCTGTCAACTTTGATTGATAGGATGCAGATGTTTATGAATCGGACTGTACGTTAGAACTGCGCAACTAGTAGTCGGAGACATCGAGTACAAGTATCGATTACGGAGGAATACGAGTACGAATACGAGTACGAATACAAGGGATAAATAGGAGGGGACGGCTGAACTCGCTCTCTTCCCTTTTCGATCGCTCGCTCTCTTCATCGCTCGCTTTAGATCAGTCAGTCTGTGTGACATATCAAGTTGGTTATATTGTGTTAAGAAGGACAATAGACATGTGGATTCAGTTATATGAAGCCTAGTGAGGACTGTCAGGGGTCAGTTGATTCAGACTATTATTGTGAAGCATTCCTGTTGATTCATTGTGTTATATTGAAACATTTCTTGATTCATGTAATAAAAGGATCAATAGCGAACCTGCATCTTCGAGTATTTCTACTGTAGTCGATGTTGTGTAGCATGAGTGGTTAAACTCGTTACATTTGGCACTACAGGCAAATAGTCTCGTAACATGTGGCGTTGCGAGCAGGGTAACTGTTCGCTCGTTACAATTGGCGTCGTCGGACAGGATGAATTCAACTAGACTTGCCGCTTTAGGCACCCATAGTCAACCTTGTGCATAACTGTGTTTAGTGTGTGTGTGAATTCGGACATTCAGGAACTGTGAAAATTGAGGAACGAGGAAAAATTTTTCATACACACACGGTAAGAAAGAATTCTTTTGTTTTACTTACGGAATAAAATGTCTACTCTGGACGAGAAGCAGACCCATATAGTGGTCCTACCCAGAGAGTCCCACATTAACAAATTTTACGGGGACGGTGATCCAACTTTAACCAACAGGTTCAGTGAAGAGGTCAAAGCGGCCTGGGCCTCGAGAGGCATGTCACCAGAGGAAAGATTAAGACTGCTGATGGGCAGTATAGGAGAGACGGTTAGGGCAGAGGTCAAATGCCACGATAAAACCATCCAATCAGATCCAGATAAGGTGCTGGATCTGATTATGGAGACCTTTGGGGAGAGACGGTCGGGATCGCAACTGCTATCAGGGTTCGTAGGCTTAAGGCAGAGAATGGCGGAGAGTGTGATGGAGTACTCACACCGGATGAACAGGGCCTTTGATTCGGTAAAGGTCAAAACACCTGACATTGATGTGCGCCTACTGAGGGACCATTTCATCGAGGGGCTAGCAACCCCGATCTTAAGAAGAGAGTTGAAAGAGGAGGTCCACAAAGACCCGCAGTTGACCTTCCTTCAGGGCAGGAACTCAGCGATCCGCAGGTCCGAGGATGGGGACCAATCGAACTGTTCGGTGGACAAAGTCTCTGTGCCTGAACAGAGACAATCCCCACCCACAGGGGCCGACACGATGGAGACCATGATGGCTCAACTGTTGGCCCACCTGGTTAAGGTTGACCAACGATTGGAGAGGTTAGAAAGCAGGTCAACAGCTGAGAATCAGGGCAAAAACGGGACAAAACAGAGACAGGTTGGACAGCCGCGACCTGCCGCTCCATCGCTCCGGTGGACGGCTGACGGTCGACCAATTTGCTTGTCCTGTTCACAACCCGGACATATGGCACGGTACTGTCCGGTGAAACGATCGCCCTCTGTACGGCAGGTCAAGGCTACAGAGCGGCGAGGTAATGACTTAGTAAACAAAATGACACAGAAACACAGTAAGGAGAAAAAGAAAGGCAAAACACAACTGATAGGTGAATTATGGACTGATGAATGCCTGAACTCGTTTAAGCTATTGAAAAAGGCTTTGACAGAGGCGCCGATATTAGGATACGCAGACTTTGACAAACCATTTCGGCTAGAAATTGACGCCTGCTCTAAAGGTCTGGGAGCTGTGCTATCACAACAACAAAAGCAAGGCTTCAGGGTTATTGCTTATGCCAGTCGAGCTCTGAAGGAATCAGAGAAGAACATGACAAATTACAGCGCCATGAAACTAGAACTTTTGACATTAAAATGGGCTGTGACGGAAAAATTCAGGGACTATCTATTAGGTGCTAAATGTGTGGTATACACTGACAATAACCCCTTGAGTCACCTAAAGACAGCAAAGTTGGGATCCATCGAACAGAGATGGGCAGCAGAATTGGCACTCTTTGACCTGGAGATAAAA